TGTCTGCGTTCCACACTATATGGGGTATTGCTCTTGAATGTGGAAGCAGTGCCGCTTGCGTCTGACTCAGATTCTGCCACCGTGGTGACCGGGTCCAGACACGACTTGTTGGTCATACTCCCTCCGATCCATGCTCAAAGGTCACAGTTCACAGCAGAGAGCGAACACCGACACACAAGAATCTACCAGAGACGTTTGCTTTAAGATCTCCACATTGCCGGGCAGCGTCTTCGAAAAGCGTCCGCTGAGACTCGATCTGCCAAGCGCGGACAGCATGGAGGGAGCAGCGACGGGGTGTGAGATCGAACCTCAAAGTGATAGCAGGACGTCTTGTAGCCATCATCGTGCTCGAAGGGGCCCACCCTGAGCTCTCAATCGAGGCCTCTGCCTTTCAATTCTCTCGACTCTGGGACCCGGCAGACAGCCGGCAAAAGGGTCTGCAGTTTGCTCTTCCGATGAGAGATCGGACCTCGGAAGTGTCTCCGGCAGAAATCCAAGAGAACAGCCATCAAAGCCATCCGTCGCAATGCGACGAAGATTTCGACATCCTTCACCTTTCCTGCTGTCGGCCGGGGTGATCCGATCTCGCGTGTCGAGCTAACCTTTGCCACATAGAGGGACGAGGGAGTCGACTGTACAAGTCTGGGCCCACTGTGCAAAAAAAAACCCGCAAAAACGAAAATCAAACTGCCAGCACCTGCACTGCTCTGCATGAGCACAGAGCACGACCTAACGCAGAGCGGCCTTTGACTTCGAGCCACATAGGAGCAAAAACTGCCACGGCGAAGGCGCGCTTGGGAGCTGGCCAAGGGCGAAGATCCCGCTCAAGGTTCCGGAGTGCCTCCGGAATCCTGGGACGCGACCGCGCGGCGCGAGCGCGCGACCGCGAGCGCGCGACGCAGCAGCGAGGCAAGCCCCAGGCCCCCTCAAGCGACAGCACCGCTCTAGCTCTGTATAGATGGTGCTGCCCCAGTTCCTGCAGAGATGCAAGGCAGGCGACAGCCAACCATAGAACCAAGCAGCCAGGGCACTTGAGCTGGTCCCGGACATCTTCCAGCTCCTCAACTCCAAAGCGGCCCCCTCTTGAAGCCGGGGGCTGAGTGGGGATCCTTCGACTGCTGCTTCGACAATGCCCAGGAAGGCGCTGCATTCCACCGTCTGCCCGCGCACCTGGAAAGAAGAAGGCTCTGAAACACCTCCTTAGAGCCTTAGGTCCTAGAATCTGCAAAACAGTACTCAGTACCCCAAAAAGACTTCTGTCTCCCGTTTGTCTCCGAGCCGCTGGGCCATGGTCAGCTGTGAAGCAGCCCTTTGGGCTGCCGCGAGCAAGGCCTCGAGTCCAATTTCGCCAGCGGTGGTAACTTCAGACTTCAAACCGCAGGCGTTTCTTCCTGTTCACCCACCCATCCTGCAGCTGCAGCTTTGAGCTTTGGGGCCAGGCGGCAGGGTACGGAGGAAATCAGAAAACAAATTCGACAACGGATCGGACGATATCGGAAAACGCCGAACCAAATCACAAAACATGGAAAACGGACAGCCGAAAGCCGAAAAACGGACGCACAAAAATCAGAAAACCAGACGGACAAACCGAGATTGGGAACGGCCCGGGGCCAGGCTGGGCTGCCCCCCTTCGGCTGCTCCCAGGTCCGCCAAGTTGAGGCCCCGTCGTAGAAGAACCACCGCAAAGTGAGGCCAGGATTTGTTGAAGGTTTCCGGGTCGTATACGGACCTTTTTTTCTGTTTTCTGATTCTTTGTTACATCCGTTCTCTGATTTTCGCTTTCCTGTTTTCTGATTTTGTTTTCTGATTCTGGGCTGCTTTCTGATATCGTCTTCGTTATTTCCTCCCGCTCCGTGTTTTCCGAATTTGCTTTGTTGATTTCGCCCTTTGTTTTCCGATACCGTCCTCACCCCCAGGCGGCACTCCCCACCCTAACGAAAAACATGCAAAAACCTGCGACGGGCTTCCACGTGGTCTGAGAAAATGGCTTGGTTTGCCTTGCATGAATGCATGTGCCACTTTATGTTTGCCAAGCTGACCTGGGGAGGCACCAAAACCTGACAGGCATGAACAAACTGTGTTTCCACTTTACTGTTGGCATGACTGCGGTCGGCGGCGAGATACCTCCGATTTCGCATCTGGGATCGAACAACTTGCGGGGGAGGTCAATTACCCCAGCCGCTGAATAATCCAAGAGGTACGGGCTTTAGGTCTCGAGTCCGCACGTGCTGCGCTTCACGTCATGTCTGCACATTCCAACTTTGAGAACGCTCGGAACTTGCAGCGTGTCTCGTGTCTGCACTCAACACAACATAGCGGTCTACAACTTAACACCCGAACCTTGCGAATGCCGCGAAGATGTACTTCCTGAGGGCATTTCAAGGGGCTATCTTGTCCCCAGAGTCTCTGCACCCCTAAACCCTAAACTGAGACGAAAGGAACACGAGCATCTGGCTCCGAACGACAGTAGGAGCTCTAAACGCACGTTGGTTGGAAAATGACATAGATTCGGATGGCTCTGCCCTGAAGTCGGCTGTAAAGACTAGGACGACAGTGGAGTATTGTCAAGAGGTCATATCTCTTTCATCTTGTATCTGGAGCTC